CTCAATTTTCTGAAACAGATTTCGACTCAGTTTTTGTTGGTGGGCTAGGCAAGACACCCAGGAGCAACCTGCACACTTTATTCTGTTGAACGGCAACGTCCTTACCTTGTGCCCCTGTTTGTAGCACCTTCAAGGCCACAAGGTACTCGTGCAAGGGCAGGAAAAACCTATTACTCTTATCTGATGCAATATATTACTACTGATAATAACCCACTCTTGGGCCAGTAGTCATCTTGGAATCATGAGTCAGAAATCCCAAAAGCAAGGGATAAACTAGAAGTCTGTGGTATCCCGAGAGCGAACAATCTCCCTCAGCAATATTCTCAATTATCTCGTGTGATATGATCTTTCCTTAGTCTAATTATTTGACCTTTGGTGCACCACAAAATATCTGAAAACCAGATGTCTCAACATTTCTCGGTTCCGCCTTAACTCTTCACTTCTAAACTATATAAAATCCTGGCAGTGGTGTTCTGTTTTCTTTTTGTGTTTTATATAAGGCCACAGCAAGTAGTTTTCTATGGATGACATCAGCGCGTGCATTAATTTTCGCCTGGTTTTGAAAAAAAAAATTGGTTGCCTTCTGACAGTTGTCAGCATGTCGAAAATGGGCAAAGATGTCTGTTGCCTTGCCGCAAGGTGGATGGCAGATAACTATGAAGAGAGGTTCAAGAAAAGGCTCTAATAATCTATATTTTGTTGTTACTATGATGCAGTGATATGTGATGTTGGCTGTGTATATGTGATGTCCCCACTGGATCTAAACCATTTGTACAATGATTGAGTCAACATTTTAAAATGTAGGAACCTTGTTTTTTTCGGCCCGCCTGTTTTTTTTCGCCCGCTCGCATTAGATTTGTAGTCTGTGTACGATGTCATCCATAACAGTTACTTGCTGTGGCCTAATATATACAACGCGGTCACTTTCCAGACTCTACATCGTCGTAGTATCTCGTACGATCATAGAATTTTCAAGCTGGCTGTACCAATGCAAAACCAGCTAGCCTTCAACAGGGATCTAAGGCTTTTTCGTGTACATTGTATTGTGTGCATCTCTTTCTAAGCTAGCGCTACCTACATGCCAAAAAGTATGAAAATTCGTCCTTCCTTTCTTGATTTATCCACTGTCCTGGTGTTCATTAAATATTCCCAATGATAATCGCCAGAGTTGGAGTGGTCATTATTATGAGCAGTGAAAACGAAAACATGTGTGATAGACTGGGAGGGTGCCAGGGTCATAGATAGGGAGGACAACAGAAGAATCCGATGGATTAAAGAAGCAGTCTGGATAAGGAAGTCTACCCCAGTGATGAACCGGGATGAGGGGGGATACAAGCTCAGCCACGTTTGGGATTGCATTCTCGCCGCAAAAGCGCCACCTATATTGGCGTTAAATAGCGGCGAGTTGCAGAACTCCAGTCAGAAGCTCTGAGGAAGGTGTCTGACAGACATCGAAACGTAAGCAGGTGAGAACCTTACTGGTTGTGTAAGAAGAAAATTCTATACCCTAATTGTCATTGCCATTAGAAATGATCTGCCTTGGCCAGAAGGTCATTAACCTAGATCAAAGCAAGGAGATAAACTGCCCTTCCAAATTTACGTACAAAACGACTCATTGCACTCCCCCACAAGCCAATACGGATCCGAAGATCCAAACTTACGCCATTTTAACTATGACCTAAAACCTATTCACCATACAAAAATCCAGGCAATTGCTCCTCCAGAACTTGAACTACTGGCAAACTAAAAAAAAAAACACAAAACGGCCACTGCAGTGATGTAGGGACCCCGCACGAGGCTTTTTTCGAACTTAACATTGATCTTCACAACGGTAACTTGCCTACCAAAAATCATGGACATCCATTTACACATACTGCTAGTTCATCCTACTGAGTTATCCTGCTGACAAACGACAAACACAAAAAGTTCACTGCAGTGACGAAGGGACCCCCCACGAAGCCCATTTTTGCAATTGACCTTGGTCTCTACAACGGTAACCGGCCTGCCATAAATCATGAACATCGATCCATGCCTTCAAGAGTTGTGCCGCTAAATCCACAGCCTCCCACACTAAAGCAAGCTGATTCTATACCCTTATAGCTCACGACAGACAACAACGAGGCCTCCCTAAAATCATGACAGTGCCATGCAAACAAAAATCCACCAACAACCATCGTCGCCATGGCACTGTAATTTTTGCAATGCCAGTCTTGTTTTACCTTATGACGATCATACAATGTCATGATGTGACCAGTCCCTAATGTATTGTGTCCAATTTAGAAAGAGAAAAAAATACACAACAAACAAACAAACAAACAAACAAACAAACAAACACATGCTTACCGCTTGCTTCCCCTGCGTTTGTAGTTGCTTTCAGAATCACACGACCACTTCCGATGCCGTGTGAGTCTCGGGGAGCTGACGGGAGAAGACTCCGTTGAACTCCCGCTCGCCACCGACCGGCCCGACTGGGGGCTGTTGGATGCGCGGGAACTCGCGTTGCTATGCCGCTTGTTGCTAGGCAACCGCCAACCGTCGTCTGACCCTGACTCTGGGGTGACCACGCGGGGACTTTGAGGGGGGAAAAAGAACAAGAAAGGTAACATTTGCAAAGCAAAATTGATGTATAGTATTTACCTTCGCATATGGTCATCTCCGAGAATCAGAAATCGAATGAGGACACAGTGTAATAATCAAGAAGTATTTTATTCGTCATGAAAACAGCAATAAGTCAGTGGAACAACAGTTGTCGTCCTGTCCTGTTTCTTGTGCTCATTTATCCATTTCGCGTTACGTTTTACGTTAATTTTACGATTTTCAGCAATGTCGTTACTCTTTGGTCATAGATACGTCTATAAATATATAATATATATACAGACGTCTATAAATATTCCCTCTTCCCCCGCACAATCCCACAATGGAACGCCTAGCCCGGTAACCATGGCTCCCACCGTTGAGTCCTTCCGGGCCAGGCTGGAGGCCTGGCCGCCTTAGACCAAGGCCTCCCCCCCCCCCCTAAAGTGCCCCAACAGGGGCTATATGGGGGTGTAGCCGGGGCTTGTACAACATCTTAGAGCCCCGGCAAAGATGCAGATGAAGATGAAGATGAAGATTATATAGGAAGCGGAATTTCTTTTTTTTTTCTTCTGAAAACAAGCCAAAATCAATGCGCGCGGACGTCTTCCATGAAAATTACTTGGTGTGGCCTAAATGAAAATTAGAGGTCAGTTATATTTCTGTATGGTCATCTCGCTATATGGGACTGGGTCTATTTTGCAAAATTATACCCGAAGGCTATTTATGATTGCTTGTACAGCGCCAGAAAGTAATGCATTAGTGTTCGGTGAATGAGAGCTGTGCGGTTGCCTGGACGATTTAACATTCAAATTTCAAGAATAGATTTCCCACGTTTCAAGACACAACTTCTGTCAGATCAACATATTCTACTACTATCCTTGATATTACCCTCGCACGGTATATAACCTTAGGAAGAACACGTACAGCAATCAGTTTAAGCTCACAGACACAGACACAAAAAGTCTTTCATTGTGAGAGCCGTAAAAGACTTGTGAATGTGTATTGGACATTGTATTATTGACATTTTACAATTTTACAACATAATATATAAACATCATCACAATACATAGATTAAAAACATCATCATCATTTAAAAATCAACATCATAAGAACACGTAGGTTGAAATAGTAACAATTTCAGTT